CCAAGATGGCCTCCACGACGACCCATGAGGGTCCAAGATGCCTCTAAATCGGCCCAAGATGCCTCCACGACGGCCCAAGAGGCCCCCAAGAGGCCTCCCAGACAGCCAACGAGGCCTCCCGGAGGTCCTCCAGGAAGGCCCGAAGAGGCCAAAATCATTGATTTTCCTTGCGTGTTTGAAGGATTTGGGCGTTTGCTTCTTTTCCCCTTTCAGGCGGCCCAAGAATCCTCAAAGATCGCTCCAAGATCGCCCAAGAGGCCTCCAAGATGGCCCCAGAATGGCCCAAGAGGCCCCCACGGCTCAAGAGGCCTCCAAGACACCAAAGATGACCTCCAAGACGGCTTTGGAGCACCCCAAGAGGGCCCCCAGTCGACCCAGAGAGGCCCCAAGACAGCTTCCGACGGGGTCAGACAGACCAGGAGCCCACCAAGACAGCCCACGATGGTTCTAAGATGGCCCAAAACGGCCCAAGAGGCCCCCAAGAGGTCTCCCAAGAGGCCTCCAAGAGGGCTCCAGGAAGGCCCGAAGAGGTCAAAATCATTGTTTCTTTTATACATGGTTTGGGCATTTGCTTCCTTTCGGTCTTCCGATGGCCCGAGACGGCCCAAGAGCCGCGAAAGACCGCCCGAAAGGCCTCCAGGATGGCCCCAGAACGGCCCAAGATGCCCCCACGACGGCCCCAAGAGGGCTCTGATACGGCGCAAGAGGCCTCCAAGACGCCCAAGATGGCCTCCAAGACGGCCCTGGAGCGCCCTAAGAGAGTTCCAAGTCGGCCCAGAGAGGCCCCAGGACGGCTTCCGACGGCGTCCGACCGGCCAGGAGCCCAGCAAGACAGCCCAAGATGGCTCTAAGATGGCCCAAGACGGCCAAGTGGCCAGGTCTCCAGGACGGCCCAAGAGGCCTCCAAAAGGACCTCCAGGAAGGCCCGAAGAAGAAGAAGAAGAAGAAAACGCCGTGTGTCCAGAAGGCACGTGAGCAATACTATAAATCAGCCGCAACAACGCATCAGCGGGACTGGCTGTAGCTCCGCGCTGCTCGCCGCCACGTGTTCGCCGGATAGACGGCTATATCTGGTCAGTCTGAGCCACTATGCACACATGCGCGAAGAGCGTGCCCGAAAAGGTCGAAATCATTGATAGCATTTGGGTTTCTGAAGGGTTTGGGCATTTGCTTCTTGTCGGCCTTCCGACGGCCCGAGACGGCCCACGAGCCCCGAAAGATCGCCCGAAAGGCTTCCAGGATGGGGCCCCAGAACGGCCCAAGAGGTCCCCAAGACGGCCCCAAGAGGGCCCTAAGACGGCCCAAGAGGCCTCCAAGACGCCCAAGATGGCATCCAAAACGGTCCTGGAGGGTTCCAAGTCGGCCCAAAGAGGCCCCCAAGACGGCTTCCGACAGCATCAGACGGGCCAGGAATACCGTGAGACGGCCGAAGAGGCACCCGAGAAGACCCCGAAGGCCCCCAAGAGGCCCAAGGAGGCCCCCAAGATGCCTCCAAGAGGCCCCCAAGAAGCGCCAAGGAGGCCCCAAGAGTGCCCCCAGAGGCTCCCAAGATGTCCCCTCCTCCTCCTCCTCCTCCTCCTCCTCCTCCTCCTCCTCCTCCTCCTCCTTTTCCTCCTCCTGATCTTTCCAGCCATCCTCCCCGAAGTGTTCCCCGAAGGGTTTCCACAACGGTTGGGGGAACACATGGTCCGATAGCTTGGCAGAGCTCTTGCCACAACGCTCGGCCACATGGGCGATTTCAAAGGCAGGGGGCGGCGGTGATTCGCCGTAGGCGTCTTCGATCCGCCGCCCCCTGTTGGCTTGCCACAGGGGTGCGCAGCGTGCTGGATCCTTTCGGTGTTGGTTCTTTTAGAAATTCCCCCTGGGATTTCGGCCCAGCGCGCCCGCCAGCCACGCGGAAGGCGCGCAAACGACCTCAACGTCCGGAAAAAATCCTCCAAGACGGCTCAAGATGGCCTCCCAGCCAATATGGCTTCCAAGTTCGCCCAAGATGGTCCAAGATGGCCTCCAAGACGGCTCAAGAGGGTCCAAGATGGCCCAAGACGGCTCCAGAGGCCTCCAAGAGCCTTCCAAGACGGTCCACGAGGCCTCCAAGAGGTCCTCCAGGAAAGCCTGAAGAGGCCACAATCATGGTTCTTCCTCAAGTTTTACTTTGGCTTTTCCTCCGTTTTTGTGTTCTGACCGCAAAAAACGCCTCAAGGAGTCCCCAAAATCGTTCCAGAGGCCTCCAAGATGGCTCCAGAAAGGCCCAAGAGGCATGCCTCAAGCCAGCCACAAGAGGGCCCGAAGACGGCCCAAGAGGCCTCCAAGAAGCCCAAGATGGTCTCCAAGATGCCTCTAAGACGGCCAAGACGACCTCCAGCACTGCCAAAAATGGCTGCTCAGACGGCCAAGATGGCCCAAGATGGGCCCGAGAGGCCCGCAAGATCGCCCAAAGATCGCCCAAGAGGCCTCCAAGATGGCCCCATGACGGCCCGAGAGGCCCCAAGACGGCCCCATGAGGGCCCCAAGACTGCCCCCAAGAGGCCTCCAAGATGCCCCAGATGGCCTCCAAGACGGCCCTGAAGCGCCCCAAGACGGCCCCAAGTCGGTTCAGAGAGGCCCCCAAGACGGCTTCCGACGGCGTCAGACAGACCAAGAACACCATAAGACGGCCAAAGAGGCCTTCAAGAAGCCCCCAAAGGCGCCCAAGAGGCCCAAGGAGGCCCCCAAGAGGCCTACAAGAGGCTCCCTGGAAGTTCCCAGGAGGCCCCAACACTGCCTCAAGAGGCTTCCAAGAGGCGTCCTCCTTCTCCTCTTCCTTGTTCCTCCCTCTCCTCCACTTCCTTTCTCTCCCCACGTGTTCCCCGAAGGCTTTCCAGACCGACTCGGAGAACACCTGATCCGATAGCTTGGCCAAGCTCTAGCCAAACTTTCGGCCACATAGGCGTTTCCAGAAAGGCAGGGGGCGGCGGTGATTCGCCGCCGTAGGCGACTTCGATAACGCCAACGTCTCCATATGCGCTGATGATTCCTATCCGCCCCCGCATGATGTTCCCCGATGTGCCAAGGCAGCGCCGAGACGCACCGACGCGACTCTAATATATCCCATTATGATAGAGAAGGGGGCGGCGGCAGGGGGCGAAGCCATTACGGATATAGCTATATATCGTATGTGTGTATGTGTATGTACAAGTACATGTGTAAACATGTATGGTTGTGGATACGTACAGGGGTGTGTGTATATATATAGCTGTATATGTACATGTGCATATACATATGTATGTGTGTGTTCTTCAGAGCCTCGCAGACATCTCTCTTGTCCACAACGGCGGGGTGCTACGTATAGATACACCTACATACAAATATAGATAGATGTAGATATGTGTAAATGTATACACACGTGTACATACAATTCTACGCATATACACGTGTGTATCACTCGGGCTGACCAGTTTGCTTCCCCGAAGCCGACCTCCCATGCCAAACCCGAACAAGCCATGCGCGCTTGGTTTGGTGTGGTTTCCGTTGCCCAACACAGGCTGATCGCTCCTTCATCTCATCCTGAACCTTCCCCTCCTCCACCTCATCCTCCTCATCCTCCTAATCCTCCCCATCCTCGTCCTCCTCCTCCAACTCCTTCACGTCCCCTCCTTTGCCACCTCCTCCTGGTCCTCAATCCTCGAAGCTGCGGGCCCTAGTACCGTCACCGTTGCGCTGTCTTCCTCTATGTACTCTTCCTCTCCCCCTCCTCCTCCTCCTCCTGCTCCTCCTCCTCCTCATCCTCCTCCTCATCCTCCTCCTCATCCTCCTCCTCCGCTTCCCCCTCCTCCTCCACCTGGGCATAATCTGGAACCATCCCCTCCTCTCTCCTCCTGCTCCTCCTCCTCCGCATCATCATCATCATCATCATCATCATCATCATCATCATCATCGCATCAGCATCATCATCAGTATTACCATCATCATCCTCATCATCACCGCCAGCCTCCTCCTCATCATCCTCATCATCATCGTCCTCAGCATCATCATCAGCATAATCATCATCGTTACCATCATCATCATCATCATCATCATCATCATCATCATCATCATCTGCAGCATCTGCAGCATCAGCATCAGCATCAGCATCATCATCATCACCCCATCCACCGCAACCACAATGCATCATCACCACCATCATTATCATTATCATCATCATCATCAGCAACAGCATCGCCATCGTCATCAGCAGCAGCATCACAACTACTATCACTCACCAGTCATCACTCTTCACTCGGAGTAATCATCTGACATCAGCAACAGCGTCAGCGTCACCACATCAACATCAACATCACCATCACCACCATCATCACGACCACTACCATCAACACCACCACCACCACCATCCTCACCACCATCACCAACACCATAACCATCAGCGTAGCCATCAACATCATCTATTCACACTATAAAAAAACAACAACCTCAACATCAACATCAGCATCAACACCACGATCATCTTCACCGACGTTTGCGAAAGAAACGCCCACCAGTGAAAGTGCCGAAAGGGCCCCCCCGACACCCCCCCCGTATCTCAAAATTAGCGGCTAACCGCGCCGAAGGTAGGGGGCAGTGCTGCGAAATAAACGCCCACTCGTGCGAAGGGCCCCCGGCTTCAACATCGACCTTGAAATTCGGGGGCGAAGGGAATGCGCTTCGGTAGTCTGTTGCCTGCACCCGGCACGGGCGTTTACTTCACAAACAGCGGTACCCCGCACCAGCATCATGTAGTGACGCGAAGACGGCTGCGTTGATGACTTCTTATGTTCAAGTCCGCGACCTGCGCCTGGGACTTGCGGCCCATCTCCCCTGAACGTGGCCCCCTGGCTTTCGGGTCAGAATTCGGGTCTGCGGCGGAAGTTCGGAACGATTCCGAAATCCCGAGGCTGGAAAGCCGAAGGAAACCAACGAAGAAGCCCGAGAACCTCGACCAATCAACCCCACCGTGCCCAGGCCCCTCCCGCGCACCGGGGCCTCTC